AAAGGAACGCTATTTAAGGCTTACCATATGTTCTAATAATTTGAGCCTCTGATTGTGGAGACTGGATGTCTTTTTAAGGACGGATGCCGCCATGGTTCTCATCTGGTGTTCCTCTGACTGGGCACAGGTGTGCAGAAAGGTTTCATTCAAACTAAATACAGATCTGTTTTCGGAAGGATGGATGTACTTTCTTTGAAACTCTTTCAGCTGATCTTTTAGTACTCATGTTGTCAAATGGAAACAATAATACAAAAACCATTCCTCATGCTGATTACAGGCAGGACTGTAATACATTAGGAATGAGTGGCAGTCAGGTGAGTGAAATTATCTCACTAAAATAAAAGACAGGAAGATTGAGAACAGCTGTCTTATTGGAATTATCCAACCTTGTCTCCAATAATAGCATTTATATACAACTTTGCTTTAGCATATACGCATTGTGGGACCCTTAATGCAGCCAGATTGCATTACATTTCAAGAGTATAACAAGGAAATATTTGTATTAAATGTGCACTGTCTGCAGAATGCTTGTGGTCAGCGTATTTCCTTTGTAATGGTTTTATGGTTGTGTTATGTTGAGTTAAAATACTTTGTCATAGTTAAGGAAAGGTCATTGTCTTAAATGTTGAAAAACTTACGTTGAAGCAAGAGATTTTGACTTTTTCAATTTTAACAAAAGCCACAATCTTTCCCTAGCCGTAACCAAATATTTTAGGAACCCAACAACATGTAGGATACAGGACGCCAGCCTCTGGTATAAAAGTTCTTTGCTCTGTACACCCAGCCCTAACACTTCCTCCTACAACTTCAATGCTGTATAAGAACGTCACACTTCCTGGATCTAGACAGCAATTGTGTTTCCTCCAGTTTTAGCATGAATAACCAAATATGCCACCTGGACACTGTTATAGACTTTTATAAAAGCTGTCAATTCATAGAAAAGTTCTTCATAGAAAACTGTAAGTTTCTATATCCATGACATGAGCTAATCTGTGACCCTCTAACTCTTGGATCCCGTGTATGAATGTCGCTGCATGTAGGGAGTTAGCTGTGAATGAGAGCTTTCAGGTCTGTCCCTGGTCTTTATCTCTACCATCTCCCCTCTCTCTGTGCCGCTGGAAAGACATACAGTCAACACATTGTCCATTGATGTACATATTTTTGGCCCATTTCATAGATTTAAAATGTATGAAATTGGCCTAAATAAATAATCTGTGGAAATATGTGTCAGATGTCACAGATGTCACTCCAGAAGTGTGCTCCTTAAACTGTGGGCTTGGCCCTAACAGGGGCAGCAGGCTTGTTTCTAGCAGGAGCCTAAATCAATTTGACTACTACTATTTTTTGTATCGGGAACCTAAAGCAATACTGACATGTTGGGCCTCAAGGTGTAAAACAGTCATAACCTCAATATGCAATTTGAATTAATTTATTGAAGTGACATTGGAAAGTAAAATTATACTCACTAAGAACATCAATTCATCAAAGAACTAACATGTAAGAGCTGTTTAGAGCTGGGGTACAAAGAAATGTTTTCATTTTGATTTGCCATGAGACAACCAATAACCAGAAAAACTGACTGTGATTCTGTGAGTCAACATGTTTAACAAAGCCACGCAAAGAAACCATCTGTGAAACCAGCATGGCATGACCAAGCGTAATACAGCGCAGAACAATGCTATAATGTTTACGTGTCAGCTCCACAGCATCACCATTTTTACAATTATGTGTGTTTTGTTTTAAAGCAAATATTGATGTATTAAAGGAGAAAAGTAAATATGGAAGTAGTTTTGCTGTGTGCAGTGAGTCACTGTGTGAGTCCCAAAGCTCTAAAATGTCTTCTCTGACCCAGACATCGACGCTCGCCCTGTCAGAGTAGAAATTTTAGAAGTTTTTCTTTGGCAAAGGATGCACAGGTGTTTTCTCAAGTCTTTTTTAAAAATGTTTTCTGACCCTGTTTAGAATTTGACAGCACCAATAACTTAGAAATGGAGTGGAAACCATCAATTCTTTCCAGTGTTAAGACACAACGAGACATATAGGATGTTTAAATTAAAATATCCAATGAAACCAAGATTTCTATTTAGATTGTTAGAGAATTCTTTAGAAAAAAAACATATTTAACCTCCATGGGTGGAGAGAGAATTTCTTTCTTTCGTTTTGATAGAAACCACAGAATAACTTATTGCTTGATGCCAATTATTAGCAGTATGAGAGAGAAACAAAAAGAGGCAGTTGTACTGTACAGCAGTTGTCACAAATCACCTGGCATATTTAGGCCTCAACATTCAGGTCAGTTGCCAAAGGCTACATCATACATGAGGAAAATGCAGACCTTCTAAAACATAATTTTCTGTTCCTACTTTCTGCCTCTTTCCTGGGAATCAATCATTTTTAATCAAAGGTGTCTGAATTTCATTTTTGTTTGTAATTCCATGACTTCGCACATAGGCTGGCTGCAGGTTTGACCTTTTCTTATTTATTTATTTTTTAAGTATGAAATATGTTCTTGTTAAGGTTGACTGTTGTTCATAAAAAATGGTCCTCATGAAATGCTTTCAGCATGGAATTTTCTTTAATTCATCCATCGTCTTTTTTTGTGTCAAGTTACGATAAAGGATTTTCAAGAATAGTCCCTCTCAAAAATGTGTGAAAATACAGTTGGTCCATACTGTGGGACTAGTGTTGTAGGTTCCAGCTATGATTTTCTATGATATTGCTTAAGGACACTCCAAAATAGAAAACATATTTGGGGAAAATCCACTATAAAGAATAACTTGTGTGTTTATATAATATCACCGACAAAGCTTCTTCTCAGAAGCCCAATAATGTCACTTTCTAACTTTTTTTCTGAGGTTTTTTTTGTGTTGTGCCACAGGGCTTTCAAATGTCTTCTTTAGTCTCAAGCATATAATAACACTGTTTTTTTCTTTCAACTCTTCAAACACACATTCTGTCCCCCAAAATACATTGAAGCCTTTGGGGACATGTCAGAATTGATGGTTTACCTCCTATTAGAATTTGCGTATTTGAATGCGTGTGTGTGTGTCCCTTTGAAGTTTTTGGAGTCCGCCCACCCTTCTGTGGCCCTGCATTGTGCTGAACAGCTCCATTTGTCCCACCTTAATCCCCTGACGTAAATTCACATAAATCACACTGAGTTGTTTCTAAACGTGGGCAGGCTGGAAAACTTGGTCTCTGTCTCTCTGTCTCGCTCTGGTTTCTAGCTCCCATGGAGAGTTTAGGAGCTGCTGGGTATTCATTTAACTGACCACCTGTATTGATAATGACTTCAGCTCAGAGTATAAATAAATGCATGGCTCTTTTGCATGGAAACTGTTGGTTATTCTCACACAGGAGCTTTACACTGATTTATTAAGTAAATGCACCCTCACTCCGAAACAGGGTAAACCATACGTTAATATTTTGAAAACACAGCAGAAACAGACCAAATAGAAAGTAGAAGCATGTACAAAGCTTTTCGGTTTCTTTTTTAAAGGATCATCACTTTTGATTGTTCCTCTTGGAGTGGCTGAGCAGACAAAAATCACTTGCATTTACCAAGGAGACAAAAAACAAAAAAGGTTATTGAATTCTGTGTCACTATAGACCAAACGATCAAGTGTTGACATAGCATCCCCTTAGTCCTTTTACATGGCCAATAAATACAGGGACATTGTTTTAGCCATCACTTGTTAGTTCTAGAGATGGGGCAGCATCATAGCACCCGTAGTCCATCTAGGCCAAACTCTCTCTATTGATGGCTCGGGGCCAGATTAAAGTGCCGGGGCTCATTGTTTACACAGCTCTGTGGTGCCACGGCTGAGCAGGCCCAAACAATGGGTCCCTGCTCTCCCTTGTCAGAGTGAGGGGAAGAATGGAGACCTCTTGACATGGCAACCTGAAGCCTCAATGCCCCCACTCCAGTGTAGCTGAAAGGGTCAGAGTGAGCAGGAGCGGAAGAGGGAGAAGAGGGGAAGTTAGAGATAAGGAAGAAGGAGAATGGAGAAATGAAAATAGAAGGGGAAGAAAGGTGGCAGATGTGAGGAGGGATGAAGAATGATCGAGGATAGAGGAAGAGAGATAAAGAGGTGAAGAGATATTAAACAAATATAGTTCATGAAAAAGAGAGGAGAAGAGGAAGGAAACAAAGTGAGGCAATAACGGATGAGAGGGGTAAAAAGAAGAAGTAGGTGTAAAAAAAGAAGATCGGATGCAGAGAAAAATCATTTACAAGGCAGAAGAAGTATGAAAGGATGTGAGGAGAAGAGTATCTGATAGCACGAATGGAAGCATAGCACTGTCCTTAAATACACAACCTCCAACCCATTATCTGACACTGTTGAGTGATTTTTGATTTTGATAATAAAGACATCTTTTAGGAAAGGTTTCACAAATGCATTTGGACATTTTGGGAAACAACTTTATTTATTCTACTACGTAGCATAACTAACATAATGACTGAAATGGTGGAAAGAATTAGCCTAGCTCTGTTCAAAGTCCAAATTGTATCTTTATTGTTTAATCTATGCAAACAAACAGAAATGTAAAACTATAACTATTCCTGGATAGTTAGCCTGGTTTATGCAGCAGTTAGCCTACCTTAGCCCGGCTGAGAGCTGTCCATTATCAGGTTTTCCTTCAAGAAAAGTATTTTAACTTAAATTTGAACTTACTTATATTAACTTAAACTGGACTTATCAACATCACTATTCAACATAACACAAAAACAAGATGAACACTGGGAAATGATGCCCCCTGCCTGAGTTCAGTGTGTGTGCTAGTATGTGTGTCATTGTTACAGCACAGGACTCTGTTCTGTTGTCTCCATGACCTTTATTTCTGTATTAAAGTTATAGGACTTGATTATACTTTTTCCATGATCTTCTGAAGTCAGAAGGATAATAAATGTCTGTTTTCAATAAGCCTGCAATAACTCATCATTAGCATTCAGAAGTGGAAGTCATCACTTTTCTTTTCTTCTTTTTTTTTGGTCGCAGGTCATTTTCTTGGCAACAATACAGTCATTGATGTGCTTCGTCGCCAGGGATACGAGGTGGAGCACACCCCTGCTGGGCAGCCCATAAACAGGTATACATTTACTGCAAAAGCACCCTTAAACACACACGCATACATCATCTAGTGGCACGTCTAACTAGACTGGATTTGTGATTTATCATAGCAATACACTGTGCAAATTGAACCAGTCCCCTATAATTATATGAGCTTCTAATTTTAGAATATTTTTTCTTGTTTTTTTTTAAATAATTTTACTTTTATGCAACACCAGACTTTCTTTTTGGTCATGAGTTGAATTTTCACAAAATCCTAAAAATACTTCAAAGTGCAGAGTAAAAGTTGCTTAATTTGCCACAAAAAGAAAAAAAGGGTTTAGTTGCACCAGTGACAGGAAATGGTGAATTGCCGGTATAACTGATGAGGTATGAGAGCAACTGTGATTTTTCTTAAAAAATGTTTTATAACGTAAGCATTGTTGAGTTTAGTAAGGTAATTCAAGGAGGCAAAGATAAAGGAGTACATTTATCAGGACCTTTTCTGTTCAAGTAAGTTTTGTATACTGATGTTTTCAGAGTCTGGTTTGAGACGATTTTATTTTTAGATAGCCTAATCATTTTCCATAAAAAGCATGAGAAATGTCTGAGAGACGACGAGAAGAGACTGACAAAGAAAATAGCAGAGAAAGTGAGAAATACTCATATGACAGATAGAAAAATGGGCAGAAAATATTATGTTTCGCTATATTTGTTGCACATTATGATTTGTTCCAAAAACACAAGTCTCTAAAACTCAAAGGCCCATATTTTATCACTTAAATAGGTGTAAGGTTTCATGTCCCGGCCACATTATACAGGGCAACCGCTGCCTTATGGCCCTGACAGGAATATATATTTCTCTCAACTTTTTCACAGACTGGATTTCGAATGGGAAATCATTTTCCAAGTAAGCACTACTCCATAGTTGGTCTGTGTTCATTTGCAGACCCAAAACAGATGTTCAAGTTCTGCTTCAGCCCTTGTGAAAAATGTGTTGTCTGCAAATAATCAAAAACTGCACTCGCTAGTTATTCGTTGAGTGATTCTCCCTTTGTTGAATACTCTCGAAATGTCCCTAAACATGAGTATTTGTTTTATCACCTCATTTCGAAGTTTGTCATAGTTTTGTTAATTTACTTGCACTATTGACACTTGAGAGTTAGCTTTTTGTTTATTTGCTGGTAATGAACCATCACTTTACTAATCACATAAGAGGCTCATTTTGGTAGTGATCACAGAAAAGAAAATAAATTTTCTAAGATTCAGAGCGCTGTTGTTATTACAGCAGATAAAAGGACATTCATTGGCTTTAATGTTGTAATAAATACCTATAAACAATTTTCAAATTAGATTTAGGAGTATAATTCATGGCTATGAACTTGCAGAGCTGGAACATTTATCATGAACCAAGCTTTCTGTTAAAGGAAGTCTAATAGACTTGCGCTGCAGTCCTGTATGTGTAACTGCGTATGTGGAGTCAAGGAGTGCAGTGCGGTGGTGGAATAGCTGTAGGGATCTCATATTTTAATTTTAGAAAAAAAATATGCTCAGTGATGTCTCTTATTCATTGGGGCCTTTTATTTTTTTTCCACTTTATAGATTGCTCTGTAGATAAATCTGACAAAATCCCCACCAGCCACCAATGAAATGTTGTTGAAAAGGCCAACCTAAGCAGAGTTCATACCTCCTGCTGTGAAGCATGTAGTGCAGTCTACCATGGCACACTGTGCGGGTGGCTATCTCAGTGCAGATCTGTGTTTTCTGTGTGTGTACATGAATGAATGGGTGAATCTACTTTCACACACACAAACTGTGTGTTTGATGCAAGACCATGAGCCTGTGATGAACCTGAACATGTGTGCGTGTATGTGTCCATATCCATGGTGATTGTTAAAGATAGTTGCTGTCCTCATTAAAGATGGCCAGCAGCTCATCAGAAGCAAGAATGTTTTTAATCAAAAAGATGAGTTTTGGTTTTGCGCTCATACTTATCATTCCGGTACTTTAATTTGTTTTTCCAGAAAATCTTGGATATGTTCTCTATTAGACTACACATTGGAACTTGGAATGTCCACGGCATCCTGCTCTTACATAGCAGGAATTCCTACTCTCCTCCTTTTCCTTTCCTTTCTTTTCCTTTAATTTTATTTGGTCGTGGTTTCACTGGTCATTTGGGTGGCTGGATGGGACCGCTGATGGGATTAAAGGAATATAGTAATACTACTATACTTGTAAAATCTATAATTTAATACTCACTGACTTTAGACTTTCAAGATAATGTAGCTCTGAAATCTCCTTTTTGGAGGAAGGGCAGCTGTACTCAGCTGGATTCACAACATTTATAATGGCTTCCAAAGGCGAGTCAGTCGCGGCAAAAAAAAGAAAAAAAGAAAGAAAGAAAAATGTACAAAAACGTATCACAGTGTCGATCGAAACCACTCCGGCAGCATAATCCATTTCTCCGCCTTAAATCCATTCGTTCAGGATCTAGTACTCGCAGGCAGTTGATATCTAAAAGATAGACTTTTGGTGGAGGATTCCTTTCTTACTGTCTCACTACAGTCCTGAAATCTTCATCTCTCTCTCCGTACCAAACTCAATTATGTAATAGCATAGATTTGGTGAACTTTCTCTGATCATGCACTCCACTGACAGGAACTTGTAACAAAAACAGAGAGGAAAAGAAGAATGGCTTTGTCTGTCTGGTGATTTGCATGCAGACAACAAAAAATCTTAAATCTACAGCTGAACTCAACAGGCTGCTGCAGGTCCTGGGTCTATAGAAGAAACAATAAAAACAATAAAGAATTTCTAGCTTATGCCAAGAATTATTATCATATTGTGTGGGAAAGATTGGTTCAAAGCTTCCAAAGTATCTTATGTTCCTGTGATGTGCACCCACTAGGAGATCATCATTCAGACCTGACTCGCCGGAGTCAGAAGAGCACCACGATGAGTCCCCTCTCCTGGAGCCTTTCCTCCACGAGCTCCCTCACAAAGAGGAGGATCAGGGGCGTCCCCTGGAGGATGATCTGTTACCCCACATGCTTCTTCCAGCTGATAGCCTGGAGCTGCTGGAGAAAGCGGAGAGGAAGATGCTGAAGAAAAAGAGGAGGAACAAGCAGAAGAAACAGCGGCACCGGCATTTTAACGACCTCTGGGTTCGCATCGAGGAGAGGTAAGAGGACAGGGAGGGAGAATCAGTAACTTGTCGGTCTCTTTTGCTGTGAAATGGAACAAGGAGAATTGAAGAAAAGGTGAAACGAAAGGTCACAAGTGGGGAGAGAAGAAAAGAGTATAACAGTAAAAGCTTAGAGAAGAAAGAGAGAGAGGATGTGAGAGGTATTTCCACTTGTGTATAGAATAAAACTGACACTTCCTGGTGTGGTGCTGCAGGCTCAGTCAGTCATCATATCACATCACCATACTCTTCATGCAGTCGGCACACACTTCTGCACAATACACACACACACACACACACACACACACACACACACACACACACACACACACACACACACCCTGCAGTGTGGTATGAGTCCAGACTAGTTCCTAGCTGGTATAAGTGTCTTGGATGTGAAAATAGCAGCCTGGGAATTCCTACCAAGTATCCGGTTTTGGTCTCACAGTAGCTCCAGGCAGGGACTAACCGGACAACAAAACAAGCTCACCTTTCAGACAAAAAGGAGACCTCTGCACAAGGTGTGGTCTGTCGCATTGAAAGTTCTCTCAGTCTGTTGTAAGGGCAAAATGTTTCCGTTTTTAAGGAGGTGATTGTGCATGTGGACAGGAAGCAAAACTATGCATTTTCTGCACCCACTTAACCCTGATCAGAGTTGGAGGCTATCTCAGCATGCATAGGCAAGAGGCTTCAGTCTATCACAAGGCCTTCACACATAATCAGACAACCTCATTCATTTACAACTACGGGCAGTTTAGAGTTTCCAGTTCACCTGACTTTCACATCTTTGAACTGAACACGTGCAGGAAACCCACGCAAACACGAGGAGAACATGCAAACGTCACACAAAAAGGCCCCATGATCTTCTTGCTGTGAGGAGACAGAGCAAACCACTGTGTTAAAATAACTCAAGCTCAGTTAGGTTCATAACTTACTGTCTCATTGTGGGAAATTAAATTAACTGCACAATCATCAACCTAAAGGGCATGGTGACCATAAGAATTACTTGGTCAAAAGGTAAACATTTACCCTGCAATTTAAACATTTAATATGTTTTTGTGTAGCTATTACATTCCCCTTTTTTTCTTTTATCTGTTTCCAGAATGTGCATGTGTTTGCATGCTGGAGTCAACCCTCCCAGAGTCTTAATTAGTGTGGAACATAGAGATTGTTTGCTATGGCTTGTGTTAAGATTATACAGACGGAGACTTGGACTGTTTACACAGGAACCTAAACTCTGGTCAGTCATAGACATAAGCTACTATTACACATCATTTCAGTGCAATATTTGAAATCTGTGGTTCACATTTTCAAGATGGACATGTCCTGAAATCACCAGCTTTGCATCCCCTGTGGACCTTTTTTTTTCATTCTACATTAATGTTATTTTTCCTGACACTTCTTCCTGTCTATACATGTAGCTTTATATTCTCCTTACATTGGGGTTGAATTTTCTTTTAGGTGCTACAGTTTACTCCCACAGTCCAGGGTGAGGGTGATAATCTAAACTATTCATTGGTGTGCATATGTTTCTCTGTATGTTTTAGTCTGATTGATAGAGTGACAACCCGTCAAGGATGTTCTCCCACCTTACATGCTGGGATAGGCTAAACAGTTTTGCTAGTCTGGTGTTCTAGTCTTTATATTTATATTCACCTTACCTGTCTACAATTATGGCAGTAATTTCTAAATTGTCATTATCAGGTGCTAAAAGCAGTTGCGATTAGAAATAATTGCAACCAACTTGCGCTTAAGGGTCTTGTTGAATCCGTGCTGGGTTCTGCTGTTAAACATGTGGTGCTTTCTACCTCCTTATTAACATGTATTTTTCCATGTACAGTATACACTGAAGGGATGAAAAATCCAACCATGTAGCGTCTGTTCTTCATGTGAACAGAGGGGGTTTGTGAACGTTTGTGTACATTATGTCTGCAGAAATGTTTTCTCTCTTTCTGAGAGACCCTGTATTTGAAACAGAAAGGAAACAGACTGTTTGTGTACACATGTTAGAAAGTGTATACGGTGCATGTCTTTGTATATTTTAACGTCTGAAAAGGTGGCCAAGTGAGAAACGGAGAGGGACTCAAAAAAAACTGAAGCGACTACAGCGGCACAGCTCTCTGTTGCGTTTGATGCAGGGCCACAGAGCAGTGTGTCACCTGGTTTCCTTACACCACTCCTGGCCCACAGAGCTAAATAAACCTGCTTCATAATTTAATAAAAAATGCCGAATGTTTTCTCAGAGCATTCAAATACGTGCTTCAACATTTACAGAAACTTTAAAGAAATAAATCTTGCTGAAATGGTACCAGTGAAATGATCGAAAAAAAATCATCCATATTAATGCCTTTAATAACTAAAGCCTAGATCTATAAGCTGTAAAGCCTTAAACTAAGATCAATCAGTGCAAATCAAATGTTATTAATAGGTATCTGTGAGTAATGGAAACACTGTCAGTTGAGGTTAATTTTGAGGGAAATATCAGAACACTTGAGTTTAATCTGTTAACAAGCTTCTGTTTGATTCTGGAGGACTGTTACTGTTCTAGCATTTTGAAAAAAATATGGACATCTATTTGGAAACTACTTGGTGGAGCTTGTCAGTGGATTTAATGTACTGATGCCTTTTTGTATGGTGGTTCTCATCTCATGCATCCATCACTGGCTCTAACAGAGCATATTCTGGCCCTTTTATTTAATCTTATTTTGACTGGCAATTAACTCTCCCAAGATCTTCCAAATGTGCCCCCTTTTCAGCCAAGGATATTGCAGTCTGCCATCCAAACTGAAGCTCATTTGTCCACAATAATCCCTCTAAGCACACTCTAATTTGTCTGCAGTCGGGATGAGGACTGGGACATGATTACATTTCTTTTTTTTAAGATTATGATAGACATGTTTTCAATTTTCTCTATGTTGATGCTTGTGAAAGTATCTTTCCCAATAAAATATTAATCCAGTGCAATGGTAATACTATCGTTCAATCATTTTTATTTAATATTGGATGTTGTAATGCTGTGTCAAATTGCTGTTGCAGCCCACTGGTATCTGGAGATCCTGACTTCAGGAACTTGTGTGTTTGTTTTGCCTGGCCACGTCCCAGTCTAAACCACATGAGCACTGCTGTCCCTGCATCAAACAGGACAGCAGAAATGATTTAATTGGCAGACTTGTTTAGAAAAGGGCGGATAAAGAGGGAACTAGAGACAGCCAAGGAGTGGCAGACAGAATATATAATATTGGGAGAGGAAGAAAAACAGAGTGGAAGCAGGCAGGCAGATTGGCAGCTGGTTTATAGCCATGTGCGGATCAATGAGTTGCATGCCCAGGAGTTTTGTATTTGTAAAATCTCTGCTGATTGGTCAGCGCTGTAGCAGTGGTTTTGCCATCATTAATATTTCCATTGTTTTCCTCCTGCAGTCTGCATAGTTTTTCAGTTGTGGGTGATATGGGGATGTAAAGAGAGTCCTGTTCTTTAAAGTACAGCACGATTTTCCTTTCAATCCCAAAATATCTGCAGTGTGATTCACTGACAACTTATGTATGTGAAAACTTGGTTTTAAATTCTATGTGTTTTTTCTATATGTATAGTTGTGTAAATAAGAATAAATTAAATTTAAAGCCATGTAAATAGGTTTTACAGTCAAAAACTCAGCTAATCTGCTTCATGAGGACTGTGTGGGTGTGATTTGATCACATTTGATTGGCAGTGGCCTGGCAACATGAACAAACAACCCCACAACTGTTGCTAAATGTTGCTTAAACCCTAATTGCTTGTATGGAAGTATGAAACACAATTTTTTTTGAGCCCATGTCAGCTCATGTCAGTGAGACAAAAACACAAATTCAGAAATCTCTCATCTCTCATCTCTCAACCAAAATGCAATGACAATTGTGTTCATAGTAAACAAGCTGGTTTAAAAAAAATGTGTTTGGTGGGCTTTAATAGATAAATATGGATAAAGAAAGATTTTTAAATCTACTCTCTTGTTTTTTCTCCACAGCACTATGGTCCAGTCTCCGCCTCCCCCGCTGGTTCGCATCATCAATGGTTACATCACAGTGCAGCCACCTGACAGAGTCCATAGCCACTACAACTTCCATCACATATCTTCAGCATCAACCACCTCTTCGTCCTCTCCATCTTTACTGGTCTTCCTCTGCTCGTTGCTTACGGTGCAGATGTGGACTGTGTTCCTCTCGTAGAGCATTAGTGGGGCAGTCAACCTTCTTGAGTATGAACTCTCACATATGATGGTTTCATGTATCAGCCCATGTAAATTGAGGTCTGATCACGCATCATAATACCTAGATGAGGCTGCAAAAGAGTGTGGTGACTCAGAGACTGCTCACAAAAAAATAGCGTGGAGAAAGGATGTGAAATCAGCTCTAGCTGTCAGGTAACGGTACACTCCATGGATGTAAGGCTAGATAAAGTTTGATGTTGTTGGGACTGAATGGTAAATCATGTCAATAGAGCATGTCTCTTACAAATTGAGGCCTTGATGAGCATGTAAGTTCATACAGAGTTAGGGTTCTTGGAACATTTCATAAGGTTTCCATTATTTTACACACACAGCAGGAGCGAGTACACAGAATGCAGCAGGAGAGAAAACAATCATGTGTGTTATGGATTACAGTGTTACAGTAGACACTCATCGTTCAACATTCAAACCTCTGAAAATATGAGATCTCACTGAAGTGACTGTTCAGTGAATGAACCCATGAACATTGTTGAAACTATTGCTGAATGTCAAATACTTTCAATAAGTACAACTGGAGCCATATGTCCTTTGTGTGTGTGTGTGTGTGTGTGTGTGTGTGTGTGTGTGTGTGTGTGAGAGAGAGAGAGAGAGAGAGAGAGAGAGAGAGAGAGAGAGAGAGTGAGTGAGTGAGTGGAGTGAGTGTGTGTGTGTGTGTGTGTGTGTGTGTGTGTGTGTGTGTGTGTGTGTGTGTGTGTGTGTTTGTGTGAGAGAGACAAACAAAGTCTATCAGCTCTTAACCCCCCCGGCCTTGCAAAAAGAGGTGTTCCTCTTCAGGCTTTAATTTATTCTTCCATTTTAGAAGAATTTGTTCAATGTTGCATAAAAGCCTACTGTGCGGGGAAATTGTACATATTGTTTCTAAATATTATAGATGTATTTTAGAATTATACAAAAATGAAAATTATCAAAAGTTTTGTTGTTGTTTATATAAATATATAAATAGAAATGCAGTATATTTTTGAAAAGAAAATCAGGAACTAACCACCATAGCTCGTGTCATCTGTCTCACTGAAATTACATTTTTGGAAGGGACATATGATTGTATTGTACTTTATGTATCAGTGTTATCACTTGCTTTGCTGTATGTGTCTGCTGAAACGATTCGTGTTATGTGTGTTTGTGTGTGTGTATGTCTGTTTTCACATAGAGATCATTTGTTTAATTTATTTAACTACTATAGTTTTGTTGTAGGCCATATGAAACATTCCCAATTTTTTATATATATATTTTTTGTCCAAATGTTTTATTTCAAATGTTTTCAAGTATGATTTCAAATGCATATGAATGGTAATAATAATTCAGTTTTAAATACATGAAGCTGTCTACACAGATAGACCACATACAGCATAGTGATTTAGGTCTTTCACATTTTACGTATGGTATGAGATGATTGTAATAGTATTACCATGAAAACAATAAAATATTTATCTAGATTGAAATATGATTTTACTGCTCATGCTTGACTGTGAAGCAAATCAGTGAGAAGTCACTGAAGACCTGTCCTTCAGATTTATTTTTTGTTTTTGTTGCATTCCTCTTAACATCACATAATTCATAAAATATAGAGGCTTTAAAGCTGCTATAATCAATATTTATATATTAACAAGATATCAAATGACTGTGTGCAGTGTAAAAGGGGTTGCTTATCATGACTAGCTAACACCTGACTGTAGTACATGCATACTCAGGCATCAGGTTTATCTCTAAAAGTACATGTTTAAATTATAGGGGATAAAATGTTCACTTCACATACATTTGTAATATGTCTCAAGGCAATTTAAGACATATTACTAACTGTTGATAGAATTCAGTAGTCTGGTATCACTGATCGTGTTTTCTGGCTGTGCCTTTCACAAATGTGTGGGTGGGTATACACTCACATGCTGCCCTCCTGCCCTGACCCAGGGTTCATGGCATGTTTATGTGAGGGTAATGTGCTGTGATAAGGCTGCTATTAGCAGCTGTTTGATGTGTGCATGTGGTCTGCCACAAACAAGGCAGCTGCTCAGCCAGCATATGTTGATCTTGCAGGAAACAAACAGGAAAGCTACGGGATTCTTTAGATGTACAGGAAATGAGAGTTAATTGATTTGTTATATCAACAGGAAAAGAAAGCTAATTGACTTGTTAGTTTGTGCTTTGATTTAGGAGGGACTGTGTGCTAGAGGAGGTCATAGAGGTCTGATGTGCACGAGCAATGTTAAGACAGGAAACACAAGATTTATCAGTATAAGTGAGGTGTGAGGTATGCAGAGTAAGTGGTTTGATCCACAAATAACTTATTAAGACCCTGTTTGATTTCTTACATTATAACATTGAACACTGCTGAACAACACTGGGGATGCACGTTGAAATCCTGGATACATTTAGTGTTAATTCATTCCTTTCTTTTTCTTCCACTAAGAGAGGAGAAGTTGCAATGTAAAGCACTTAGCTGCATGCAATTCCTTTGCTGAAAGGGATTCTGGGAAATTAAAATCAATTGAGTTTGATGGTGAGAGCTGACGCAACACAAAGGTATATTACTTCACAAATAACATCTGGAATGCACAGGTCATCACAGACAGACCAATCATATTTAAGACAAACATCTGGATTTTCCCTCTATGAATTATTTAGGCCTGTACCTCTGACACTTAGATTGATCAGGTAGCGTGTGTAATCTGTCTCTCTAATAAATTACACCCCTTATGGTTTTTTTCGTTTATCCAATGAGTGAATGCACAGCGGAACATGTGGCACTTCTCTAACTTTAACTGTGTGATTGAGTGCTAGGAAGAAAATGTGCAGAGAAAATGCAGACTTCATAAATAAAGTCATGACTGTAGCCAATTCAGACTGCACAAAAACATTAAATTCATGCCATGTAAAAAAAAAAAACAGTATGTGACTCTAAACGAGATGTTTCCTCTGCTCCATGTAACACAAAACTTTAAAAACAACAGACCTTGTAAGTCACTCAGTCATTCCATAAAAGAGCAAACAAACAAAGGTGCAGGTCACTCCTCTAATTGCCTCCCAATGAGAGCTTTTACTGACAGATGTTACAGCTCATTTACTATCAGAAACATTGCTTTGAATTCAAGTCAGAATGAACACAAAAGCTAACTGCAGGCAAGAGATATGCAACAAAAATCAGGACGCAGAACCAGGACACGAGGTCAAACCCTGATCAGTAGACAATTGACTCCAATCTGAGTGATGTTTAACTGTGTTCCATGTGTAATTTAAGCACGCATGTTGATAACAGGTGAGTCGATTTCCAGGCCCAAACCCAACAGTTCAGTGAAAATGATAGACCTGAATTAGCTGGAGGATAGTATTTCACCCAGAATCACTGCAACAACATCACCTATGCATTACATTATGAAAACACGCTCACGCAAACACTCTTCGGCAGATTTAACAAATCTCTCTGTCTTTTTATAGGATCTATTAATGCACTGGCTTGTGGGATTTTTTCTCTCATTATCTCCTCATTCATCGCAATATAAAATAAGGATGCTTTTGACAGGCATCTACTCCCTAAAACACAATCAAAAAAGAAAATGGGACTTATAAAAACACACCACACTGGACTGGAGGTGGGGTTGGGGACAAAACAAACCTGTAGGAATTGAAAGCAGATGTCCACGCAGACGTCTGTTTCCTGTAGAGCACAACACTAGCTCTTCAGAAATGAAGAAACGGTATTAAAAATCTTAGGTAATTGTTAGGTAATTTTTTATAGCAAGAGGTATAGCTAAAGTCCTTATCATGTCCTTTGTGCAAAATTTGAATAATTAATGAACAGAACTGCTGGAATGACTGATTTCCCATTTTAAAAACAGACACTACAATAAGTACTTCCTTCCATAGAAAGTATTGCTACTCTTAGGAATACTTCAATGTGTGCATTACACATTGAAGTATTCCTAAGAGTAGCAATACTTTCTATGTTTCTGACTGCTTGTTGCTTTGCTCAATAACCCTCACATTTTTATTGTGAGGACCTTGATACTAATTTCACCAATAGTTACCAAACCAGTAAGACATTCATCCACCCATTATACTTTCGTCCACCAGGTATACAACCAGTTTCTCTACATCTTGCTCCACAAGGTCAAATGACTTTCCCATTGTTAAAACAAGCCCAGCATGTTATTGTTTATCTGATGAAGCACTGGTCAATCCCTCACAGTCTTGCACAAATAAGCCTGTGTGTAGAGTAGGTCTCACTGTGGCTATTATTACTGCATCAGTTTAAGAGTCATAGCAGTGTGTTAACTGAGACCCATGGTAATAAGTGCTCTGTTGACTGAGTCCTCTGTATATTTATAGAGTAAATCTCCTTTGGGCTATATATATAATATGTTATCAATGCAGGTTAGAGCTTTGACCAATGAGAGCTCATAGTGTAAACAACGAGGATTTCTCTATTAGGGAGCACTCTTTTCTAGGATTGTCATCAACTTTCTAATACACTGGAGAACTAAAGGATAAATTATGTGTGTTTTGTCACTTCCCCCATTTTCTTTGGTTATTCCTTTCTTCATCTAGCCTATCTTTTATTTTGCCTGTCTTTCTCACTCTGCTTTATCTCTTCTCCTGATTTCTTCATTCTTGAGTCAATTAAGACAATTATCGTATGTCTAAATAGACGATTGACAAACGTCTTAACTACTGAAGGTAATCATTATTTTCCTGATGTATATATTAGCAATTACTTTTTCGATTAATCAACAGTACCTAAACCAAAGAATGTCCAAAAACAAACAAACAAAAAAAACAAAAAACAAAGAGACCCAGAGACATCTTCAAATTGCCTTGTTTTTGTCCAGAAAACCAAAACATTAAATATTATTGGATGTGTAATAATATAAATGAGAGAAAAACTGGAGATAATCAGTACCATAATCGCAGACCTGATACAGGCAAATTTTTGGTATTTTTGCTTGCTGAAAAGCTTGAACAATGAATTGATGTTTTGAATTTTTCTTAATCAACACAACATTTTATTGATGATTATGCTACATCTTAATGTGCTTAGGCCAATATAATACAACACATACAGTGTTTAGTCCAAGAGAAATCCAAGAAAGTATATGTAGGTGTACTTATAAACTCAAATTTAAACTGATTTAATCTCAATAAGGAGACTGATTAATGGAGATACATAATTCCATACATGGTTTCTTCAGCACCAACCTTGAAACCAGCTATCACCTGAATTAATTCATATTCTACTTTCACAGGGGAAGAAAACCTGCAGAACTGTGGTCAAAGAGGACTGGAGTTTTAGACATCATTCTTTACCTTTAAACATGAATGCCACATCACACCTTATGTGCTGCAAGCTGAGGTTCCAAGATTCCTCTGTATCTGCTGGGTTGAAACGTTTTCATAATGCTTATCTCCTCTACTGCCCACAGAAATACATAAAACTTAAGGAACCTATTAGTCTCTGTGAATTCAAAGCAGTTGCAAGGACAATGGAAGACCCATATATTGGAAATATTCAGGGCTTTGAGCTCTGTGCATCTGTTTCTCCTCCGTTGTCCTCCTCTGCACTTTTCCATTAAATCATTTACTCTGAATGATTATTAGTTATTACCATAGTTAGAAGGTACTATGAGGTACTTTAGATATGGGCTTCCTCGAGGGTCTCCCACGCACCCCAATGAGAGAATTAATGGAATACAGAACACCACTGTGATTAACTATCTAAATCTATTTCTGAATTATTCTTGTGTGCAAAAGTTTGGTTTCTCACCTAACTGCAACATCAGATATTTTGGCATGTAACAGTAGGAATAGCACAGGTGCAGATAACAAAACAAAAATGAAAATATTGGCAGCTGAATTCCATTAAGTGGCTTCAGTTTCATGGTCCACACTGATGGCTTCTTGGGACACCTGAATAGCACAGAGCTATCGTTAATATTATTAGTAACACCTGTGTTTTTCCTACTATGACAAGTCAAAATGTCTGATGTGAAAACGGTCTATTGCTGCAAGGGAGGTTCCAAGGACCGAATTTTTGCTGATGAAAGGGCTGGGTAGGTTACCTGAAAACGGACACCTATAATATTTATGAATTATTAGCATGTTTTCTAATGTCTGTTAAAATTGGTACCATGCAGAAGTCAAGCTTTCATTTTGACAAGCTAATACATATACCCTTGCTCAGTGACCGTACCTGAAGACTCACTTTATGTATTTTAGACTAACACTGCTGGTGCATCGTGCTGTGGTTAGTTTGTGTTTTGTCTCTGTTCCTAGTCTAAGAGGTTGTGTTGTTGGAATGTGGTGCAGTGAGGGCAGGATTTTGTTATTTAACCCTACCCCAACCTCAAACTGTGTGAGGCTTTTATGTTTTAAGGTTCAATTCTTCTTTCACTTTTTGATGTTACCACAGAAAATGCATTGTAATCATGACTAATCACAATATGTCTTGTAG